CGGTTATTCAGCCGTTGTTGTCGAAATTCGCGGATGTGTTTCCGGACGAGGTTCCTTCTGGCTTACCACCCCTTCGTGACATTCAGCACCACATTGACTTAGTCCCCGGCGCTTCTCTTCCCAATAGGCCTCATTATCGTATGAGCCCGACGGAGCACGAAGAATTGAGGAGGCAGGTTGAAGAACTTCTCCAGCGGGGCGTGGTCCGTAAGAGTATGAGTCCTTGTGCCGTCCCGGCCCTTCTCATCCCGAAGAAGGACAGCACATGGCGGATGTGTGTCGACAGCCGGGCTATCAACAAGATCACCGTCCGTTATCGCTTTCCGATCCCACGATTGGATGACTTACTCGATCAGCTTCATGGGGCTTTAGTTTTTACGAAGCTCGATCTGCGTAGCGGCTATCATCAAATTAGGATTCGGCCTGGTGACGAGTGGAAGACGGCCTTTAAGATTCGTGAGGGGTTGTTCGAGTGGTTGGTGATGCCATTCGGTTTGTCGAACGCACCCAGCACTTTCATGCGAGTCATGAACCAGGCACTTCGGGAGTTCATTGGCACGTGTGTCGTTGTTTATTTCGACGACATTCTGATATACAGCCGGTCGGTGGAGGAGCATCTGCAGCATGTCCGGTCGGTCCTTCTTGTTCTGCGAGCTGAGGCCTTTTTTGCTGCCCCACGTAAGTGTTGTTTTTTGGTGCCTTCGGTTTTATTTTTGGGCTTCGTGATTTCGGCGGATGGCATTAAGGTGGATGATGGCAAGGTGGCTGCTATTCGAGACCGGCCGACTCCTACTACTTTCACTGAGGCCCGTAGTTTTCACGGGCTTGCTTCATTTTATCGTCGCTTTATTGCTCACTTTAGTACTATTACCGCGCCTATCACTGATTGCCTACATGGCTCGTCTTTTGCGTGGACACCGGAGGCTGAGTCGGCTTTTGCTTTGATTAAGGAGAAGTTAACATCTGCTCCCGTGCTCGTTTTACCGGATTTTTCGAGGCCGTTTGAGCTTTCTTGCGACGCCTCGAAGGTGGGAATTGGTGCTGTTCTGAGTCAGGACGGGAGGCCGGTCTCCTTCTTTAGCGAAAAACTGTTGGGCCCGAGGTCACGGTACAGTACCTATGACGTTGAATTTTATGCAGTCGTTCGCGCGGTCCGACATTGGCGTCATTACCTCTTTCATCGT